ATATTTTTTTTATTAGATTTTTAAAAGATTACAAAATATACTCCACACACCCTTGATAAGGGGTAGCATCTGTTAACTACTTAACTAGGATTAAAAACAAATATAATGAAGACTTCTCTTCCTCTCTTCCAAATTTTTTTCCCCAAATTAAACAATTTTCAAATCCCTAATTATTGGTTCCTCAATCTCCAACTTCAGTCCCCTCTTCTCTCCTCTCCTCTCCTCGTCATTAACATCAAGCTATATACAAATTTGTTTTTCGCCCAGGCTTTAATTGTTATTCATAACAATAAAAAATTGGCAACCAGCAACATATACAGAACAAATAATCAATCCTAGTATGTATCATATCCAACTCAAAACCTTATCTCAAAGTCAAACATCAAGTCAGTGTTCGATTTTATCTTTTGATATATAACGCATATCGTGGTGTTATAGGGGCCACTGGATGTAGAAACTAGTCTGCCATTGCCGTGGAATTTCTGAATCATGCATTAATTTGTATACGTGAGGGTCATGATTTTCTTGTGTTTCGTCTTTTTTGTACAATGTAAAGAAACGATGTTATAGCGATATCAAGTTGATAGACTCTGTAAGTAAGAAGATTTATAAGACCAGAATGGTTTCAGGTTGATGACGAGGAGAAGAGAAAGGATTGAGGTTGATGATGAACAGAGGAGAGGAGATTGAAGTTGGGGATTGAGGAACCAACAATTAGGGATTTGAAATTTGTTTAATTTGGGGAAGAAAGTTTGGAAAAGAGGAAGAAAAGTTACCCAGATGTGTTATAATCTTTGAAGGGTCTAATAAAAATTAATTTTATTAAAAATAATTTTTGATTTTTGAAAATAGATAAAAAATCTGCCATGTGTCCCTGTCGAAACGCACCACGTGGAGGTATGTAATTGTACATACCCAACAAGGGGCAGCACCGAAGTGCTCACCTTTAAACCCATCCCTGATATTTACCGGGTATACTGTTGACGTGCCAGTTTTAGATCATGTGTCAAGCTTTCATTTGTCTTTGAGCCAACCAAAAAACTAGCTTCCCACGGGACATATTCACCCACCCCACCAACATCTTCCTTATATCTTAAAAAGAGATCCAATTAAATAACATGTGTTCCAACTCTGGGGAGGCGATATCTGCGCTCCACTATTTTATAAACACACTCCACTTCTACTTTTTAAGTTTTACAAAGACAGAACTATCCTCATTAAATGTAATATTATGGTTGGACAGAATTACTATATCTCTATATTTATTACGCATTTTATGTTTGGGTCAAAGTCCATAAAAAGGTACAGCAAAATCCTAATTATTTCATTATTTGTTGGGAGTGAAAATTTTTTGGAATCATCTTCTCTGAAAAAAAATGGGAATCACAGTTGAGGTAAAAATCTTTTCTTCTTCTCTCCTTTAGTTTTATTCTTAAATAGTAAGCTATCTCAAAACTTTTGATTATGGATAGAAGAGAAAGAACATCGACACAATTCCCTAATTGTTTTCATAAAAAGTTTTTCTATTGGTCTGGATAACTCCAAGAGTAGAGATTTTTGTTTTCTCGTACTTGTTGTGGAGTCATGAGGATAGTGTTCCGGTAAATCTTCAACCACCCTTAATTGAATATTGTTTTTTTATTGTATTTGATTGACCGAATTGGTGCTTGATATGTTGTGGAAGAGTTTTTGTGTATTGATATTTTATTCACATAGTCTCAAGTTTTCCTTTCAATTTTTTTGCATTCTTTTTTACGCTTAACTAATCACAGTTTCTGGCTTGATTTGGATATGCATTTGGTCATTTTTATTCACTTGTTTGTCTTCCTCTTGTTTTCTACTCAAAGACAACTACTGTGAAAAACTGTAGTTACTTATAATGGAGGAAGACCCACTAAGGATGGATTCTGAGCCTACAAGTTTATATGATCTCCGGCAAACCACATTTAAAGATCGGGAGGAGCTGCGAAATATTGACTATGATATTGTTTTGTCACAAGGATATGTCACTGTTATTAAAAAGTCAAAGAAGGATAGGTACATTATCATTGGATGTGATAGAGGGGGAAGTTATCGGGGAAATGTGTCAGTGGAGAGTCAGAAAAGAAATGCAGCAACTCGCCTTATAAACTGTCCATTTGAAGTGTGGGGGAAAAGAAATCGTGATAAAACTTGGAGAGTAGAGATAAAGAATGCTTCTCATAATCATGAGCCATTCACAGATATGTCAGGACATCCTTATGCTCGTCGCTTGACAAAAGAAGCTTAGAAAATGCAGTATTTGTAGAAATCCTGGGCATGATTGTCGCAACTGTCCAAAAAAAGAGAAGGATAATACTGGTGTCTGGGAGAATGCAGATTTGGCTTGTAGGATTGACCTAAATACAATATCAAATTCATAATCTGGTATGTTGTTGTATTTTTTTACTATTTTTAGCAATTTATTTATTTTAACTGTAAAAAAAACTTTTAATGTTATTTATTTCCTTTTTACAGGCATGGCACTCACAATCTTAGCAGAGGAGTATTGCGGTCTAGGATATGGTACAACTCGGATTTAAATATTTTTTTTCTAGGAAGTTATCTACTGTATTGTATGAAGATTTGAATTTGTGGCTTTTTTTTTTTACTTTGGAAATTTACAATTACTATAGCAACAAATTATATTGTTGCTACTACCAGTATATTATGCTATTTTTTTATTTTTATCATCATTTGAAGTTTTTATTTTTTCTAAATTTGAAAGATATTTTTTTATAAAAAAATAAAGCGGATAGATGATGCATTAAAATAAAAAAGAAATTAAAAACAAAAATAAAGCAAAACAATGATTACGAAGGAAAATTATAATCATTGTTTTACTGGGCACAAATGCTATAATTTTATTAGGCCATTTTCTTGTTTTATTATCTAGTGGAAATATTTTTTCTATTGAAAATTATGTAGGTTTTAAGTTTCTCTGGAAAAAGAAAATTATTTAATAATTATTGACAAAGAATAAACATGTCCAAAATATTTTTAATGCAGTTATCCACCTAAGAAAACTCGCGCCGTTACATTACTAGAAAAACAAGAAAAATTTGTAAACCAAAACAGATAAGTGAGGATAACTTTTAATAGAGATAATTTTGTCATTATGTAATTTAAAAAGTGAAAGTGGAGTGTGGTTATAAAGTAGTGGAGTGCCGATATCGTCTCCCCCAACTCTGAGCTCTCTCCATTGTTTCTCAAACCAATAACCATTTTTTAGTTTTTTTGTAAAATTCAAACCAGATAACATTTTTTTTAGTTTTTGTGTCAAAAAATTTTACTCCAATGCATAACATTCTGGCCACCTGACGAATTGAATTTCTAAAGTGAAATCATAGGAAGACAAAAAGAAAAAAGGTCATCCCCCTCACTAAAACATAAGTTATTCGCACAAACACAATTCCAAAGCCAACAAAAATGAATCATGCAGAGACTTTACCATCACCCAAAAATCAATACCATCAAGCCCTCTATCAGATGACGAATTGTGTCCCATGGATATTTTGACAAGATTTAAGTCCAAAATTTGAATTTCCAAAAATTCAATAATAATTTAGTAAAATCTTCAAAACTGTAACTTCCATAAATTCGCAAACAACGACGGAATTATTTTCCCTTTTGAGCTTTTGAAATAATTTTTTTAATTGAATGAAGTGAAATAGATTACAAGCTCCTGATCTAAAACCCACAAACTAACCTTGAAAGATATATTACAATATGACAAGATGGTAATAACATAATTTCAATGGTTGGCCATCAGTAAAACACATCATGAGAGGTTGACCACGATGAACAAAACATCTCGTAGAGGACGATGCAGTACAGGTGGTGAAGAAATATATCAGGGCAGTCGAAGTACAAATCCGGTGGCGTGAGGAGATATGGGTGGTAAGAGGAGACTCCAAACTGGGGAGGAGATCTGCGTGCAAAAGGACAAATCCAAGCGGGAGGGAGGGTAGCTGGGGAGGGAGTGAAGGCGGCAAGTGGTGGAAGGTGGAGTTGAAGCGGGCAACGACCAGGGTTAAAGACAAAACGGGCAACTATTATAGCAAAGATGAAGGAAGACAATTATCTCTAAAGAGTTTGAGAGAGATTGGGTTAATAGTTGAATTTTTATTTTTTAATCAAATTATAGAAGAGCTGGTTTAGTTTTTTTTGACTTTTTTGAGATTAGATTGCACGAAAGTTTTCTGCCGGTTAGGAGAGTAAATACTTTGGATAGGCTCATGGATGAATGAATAATTGTTCTGAAACTGACACGTCAGACAAATATCCAGTTGATATGTGTTGATGGGTTAAAAATCCCAATCAAAACCAAACTGATTGGGTAAAATTGAAACTTCAAAAATTGATGGGCCAAAATCAAAATGGTTGCCAAATTAAGGGGGCAAGAGACCTATTAAGCCAATTAAAATTAAAAAATAATTATATTATAAAACTAGTAAAAGGAAAAAATACACGGAAGCAGAGCACTTTGTTACGTCGGTTATGTTTTTTTTTTCTTATAATCAAGGAAAAAGTAAATATAAGGATTCGCCTTGACAAAATCAGAAATCCTACATTATAAAATCAGAACTCTAACCCTAATTGAAGCATATACCAACGATTTTAGTTTTTTTAAGCACATCATTTGTCAATTCCTAAACACTTCATTTTCTGGTTAGCTTGATATCAATTATTATGTTGTTGATTAATCAATGATGGTAAACAAAATACTAAATCAATAGAAATAAATCAAGTGCAGTGAGCAGAAGTAGAATCGTACTATAGACTCCAAGATAACAAAGCACACAAAGAGAAATTCTGAAAAACTGCTCTCAATTTCCTGTGTTTTCTTTCTTGTACCAAGAGAGTTAAAAGAGTTAAAATTATTTTCGGAATAGCTTGTTATTTCGTGTTCCTAACTTAATAATGTTAATTCATCAAAAAAAAAACTTAATAATGTTAAAAAATAGAAATAAATAATAATGTGACAACTAGGGATTTGAACCCACGCCCTTCCGGACCAGAGCCTAAATCTGGCGCCTTAGACCGCCTTAGACCACTCGGCCAAACTGTCGTTTGTTTTTAGTTGTGGAATATGTTTTTCAATTCTAAGTGAAAAAAATTACATAGAGAGCCTAAATCTGGCGCCTTAGACCGCCTTTAGATAATTTGGCACGTTAATTCAACAGATTAGCATATTTACGTTGATTCAACGTAAGGAATTAAAATTAAAAAATAATTATATTGTAAAACTAGTAAAAGGAAAAAATACAAGGGAGCAGAGCACCTTTTTTTTTTGGATGATGGAAGCAGAGCACTTTGTTACGTCGGTTATGTTTTTTTTTTTCTTATAATCAAGGAAAAAGTAAATATAAGGATTCGCCTTGACAAAATCAGAAATCCTATATTTATATGATCAGTCGATTCCTACCTTATAAAACCATAACTCTAGCCCTAATTGAAGCCAATAGCATCCAAGGCGAGAGAGAAAAGAAAAGAGAAAAGAAAAAGAAAAGAAAACAACCATGGAAGGAGTGGACAGATTGAGCGAGTTACCGGATGATCTTCTCATCCGAATCCTTACCTTGCTCGACAGAGAATCCCTCTTCAGGAATTTCTCCCTCTCCAAACGATGGCTAAACCTCCGTCCTGTATTCACTCGAGGCATCTTGGAAGTTGACTTCCATGGGGATTGCGGTGGTGATGATACTAATTACCCCTCTTCTTTCATCCGCCACTTTATCACCGCAAACCGGCTCGCGACCGTGATCGATAGAATTCACGTCACACTAAGCGAGGGGGAGCATCACCGCCGCCTACTCGGCGAGGTTATGGAATTCGTTAGCGACCGTCGCGTTGATTGCCTTGACTTGCATGTCCGTGGAGGAATACAGACGATCCCTGGCACAGGTGAACATTGCCCTTCCTTGAATACCTGCCGTTTCTTGAAGGCCTTAACCCTCAGCAATTTTGAGGTGCCATTAATGAAGAACCTAAGATTAACCGGAGGTGGCGCGTCACCAAAGACGAAGGGCGGTGGGGAGGAGCTGATTGGAGGCACGAGGGCATCTCACTCCCAGGAGAATGCGCATGCCCATATCCCAGACCAAGCAGCATCGGTGGTGGTTTCAACATCCGAGGATCCATTCAACCTTCGCCCCCTTATCACGCGTGCCAACAAAACCCTCGAGACACGTGAAAAGGTAACTTCTCCAACCACACAGAGTCCAAAATCGGTACCATCTGAGCTAGCGCAGCCTTTGCCAGAAAATACCACGTGTGTGATCGAGTCTATACCTGATACAAACCAAAATACCCACATTAGCCCACTACTAATCGGCAGCCCCACCCATAGCAGACCAAACCTTCTTTGTTCTGAGCCCAATCACTCAAGCCCAACAACCAGAGCCCTAGTACCTTACCCAGAAACACCCTCCCCCCAGAACTCGTCCTTTATGAGTCCATCACCATATAAACCATATCTTCCTGGCAGTATGAGTTCTTCTAGTTCGTCTAAACCCATGACTTCTGGATCATCTTGGAACAGTTCTTGGCTTTCCTTCCCGTGTGAGTATAATAGTCTGATTCAAAGAGCAGTAGAAAGGAAGGTTGCTGCAGTGCTGCAGAATATGGAAGTACGGAAGAAGAAAAGGGTTAGATTTTTGTCTGCCAAGGGGAGCGTGATCTCTGAACCTGAGAGCCTCCAAGGGATATCGGATTCGGATTTTCGAAGGAATAATGATAGATTCGACGTGGAGAACAGGTCGTCATCCTCAATACCTGTTTCTTTTAGCTCCCTTGAAGTGGCAGAAACGAACCTCATTGGGGACCTTGTAGGATGGGAGAGAGGTAATATCGAGAACGAGACAGATCAACTCATCGAGAGTCTGGTGGAGGAGGAAGTGTTCGACTGGGTACAGTCACGGGCGCACGACTAGATTCATGGATATGCTCCTTTGTGTTTCTATTTTCACCATATATGTTTAGTTTTGTCTCATGGAATATTAGAGGTGTTTGCTCCTCTTCAAAGCAGTCAAAGGTTCGCGCCTTGGTTAAACAAGCTCAAGCCCATTTTTTGTTTCTTAGTGAGACCAAGAACACTAATACCACCCTACAGTTTTGCCACAGGGTATGGGGTGCGGGTAACATTGATTTCTGCGCGGTTGAGGCTAATGGTTTGGCAGGAGGGCTGTTATTGGTTTGGGATTGTGATTACTTTCAGATGACTCAAAGGCAGACATCGGATAGCTGGATAATTGTCGAAGGCTTACTCCTAAAGAATAACCAGAGAGTGACTATTTGTGGAGTTTATGGTTACACACGGGTAGAGAAGAGAATTGAGATGTTTGAAGATTTAACCAGGCTTAAGACATCATTCAACTCTCCTTGGCTAGTACTTGGAGACTTCAACGAGACCCTGATCCCTTCAGATAGAAAAAGTGGCTGGTTTTGCCAAAGAGGTGCTAGGGCTTTTGGAGAGTTTATTGATAACTTGAGACTTTTGGAAATTCATTTGAAGGGTAGACGTTATACATGGGGGAATTTTAGAAGTGCCAGTCGTATCGATCGGGTTTTTGTTGAGGCTGATTGGTGCTTGTTCTTCCCCTTGCTATCCCTTCGTGCGGGTAGTAAGTGTGGTTCGGACCATGTCCCACTTGTGTTGCTGCATGAGTCGAGAACCTCGGGTCATAGGCCCTTTCGTTTTCTTAATGCATGGTGGTCCCATCCAGGATTTGTGGAGGTCATCAGAGGCATGTGGCTTGAAGCATGCTCGCAGTTTCCTAATCAATTCAAACTACTAAAGAGGTTGGGTGTGATGAGAAGATTGCTGTCTAATTGGAATCGGGACTCTTTTGGTAATGTTAATGCATGTATTGACGCCATTCAATCTGAAATTGACGCTATAGACAAAGAGGCTGATACAAGAACTTTATCTGCATTAGAACTACGGCATGTAAAGGAACTGAAGGTAACCCTTAATGAAAAATCTAGACAACTTGAATCCATATGGAGACAAAAGTCTAGAATCCAATGGTGTAAATTGGGGGATCGTAACACGAGATTTGTTCACATCTCAGCCGCTAACAGGGGTCGAAAAAATAGGATTGATCAGCTTGAAGTGAATGGCCAGTTGATTTCTGATGCAGACAAGATTAAGGAAACAGCCTGTGAATATTTTTCCAAGCTGTATTCGTGCCAACACAGGCAAAGACCAATGATCGGCTCCCTAAATTTTCACAGATTAAGTCTGGGGGAGGCTGCCGATCTGGAGAGAAAGGTCTCTATGGAAGAAATCAAAGAAGCAGTTTGGAATTGTGACAGTTCCAAAGCACCTGGACCAGACGGATTCAACTTCTCATTTTATAAGAAATGCTGGGAGCTTGTTAAGATAGATATTTATGATATGGTTTCACATTTTTTTGAGACTTCCAGGTTGCCTAAAGGAGCCAATACTGCCTTTATCACGTTGATTGCAAAGAAGACTGGTGCAATGGGGTTGGACGACTACAGACCTATTACCTTGTTGAATGGGTTGTATAAAATAGTTTCAAAAATACTGGCTCAGAGATTAAAGAAAGTATTACCCTCCCTAGTTGGTCCACAACAGACAGGATTTATTGGAGGGAGATGTATTATGGATAGTGTGCTTCTTGCGAATGAGGTAGTTCACAGTTTAAGGAAGAACAAAACTGAAGCTATTGTGTGGAAACTCGATTTCCGAAAGGCATACGACTCCGTAGATTGGAAGTATCTAATGCAAGTTTTGGAGGCAATGGGGTTTGGTCTGAAATGGCGTGAGTGGATCTCTGAATGCATATCAACCTCTAGGGTGGCAATTCTGATTAATGGAACACCATCTAACGAATTTTCCATGGAGAGGGGCTTAAAACAAGGTGACCCCTTGTCCCCATTCTTGTTCGTACTAGCAGCTGAAGGCCTATCTTCCATCCTATCCAAGGCCGAGTCTATGGGAGTCATCCAAGGAGTGCAGTTACAAGGTAAATCTATCTCAGTATTACAATATGCTGATGACACTATCCTCTTTTCTCCTGCCAGCCTCCCGATTCTATTGAATTTAAAAAGATGCCTCAGGATTTTTGAAGCCTTGTCTGGTTTGTGTATTAATTTTTTCAAAAGTAGTGTGGTGGGGCTTGGATTGTCGCAATCTAGGGTGGCTGACTTTGCTGGCAGACTACACAGCAGAATGGAAAATCTACCCATAACATACCTTGGCTTCCCATTAGGAGCAAATATGAAGCGAATCGCAGCTTGGAACCCAATTGTTGAAAAATTCAAAGGAAAGCTCAAGTGTTGGAAGGGAAGATTTCTATCCCTTGGTGGTAGAGTTACCCTTATCAAATCTGTTCTAAGTGGTTTGCCGGTGTACTTCATCTCTCTATTCAAGCTTCCGGTAGCCGTGGCACGAAATATGACGTCCATAATGAGAAACTTTTTATGGAACGGTCTGGAGGCCTCAAAGAGGGCATGCTTGGTGGCGTGGAAAAATATTGCCGTTCCAAAAGAATTAGGTGGTCTGGGCATTATCGACCTAAAGGTGATGAACCAGTGTTTATTGTTCAAGTGGCTTTGGCAATTCATGAGCCCTGTGGAGAAGACTTGGAAGGAAGTGGTAAGACGCAAATATGTTGAGCCTTCGCCGGCCTTAAGCCCGGTATTTAACTTACAGAAGTGCTCCCCAATGTGGAAGGACATCATATTATCTGGGGATCTTAACAGCCAGACTGGGGTACCTCTAATGTTGGGTTCTGTCATCAGGATGGGAGCTGGGAATGAAGCCTTGTTTTGGCTGGATGATTGGACTCGGCATGGTAATTTTAAAGATAGATTTAGTAGGCTGTTTTCATTATCGTTATGCCAACATGCCTCTGTATCCGAGTGCATTTTGCATACCGGACAGGCAGGAAATTGGTGCACTAATTGGAGAAGACCACTAAGGGAATGGGAATACGCACAGATGAATGAGATGCTTGAAGAAATCAATACGGTGCATTTAGACCCTTCAAGTGTTGATGAACGAGTGTGGAGACACAACCAGAAGTGCGAGTATTCGGT